TTACATATATTCATTTTGACTATACGATCAAACTATACTTTGTCACTTTGAAACCATATATAAGTATATTTGACAAAGATTTGCATTTCATATCTGTATTCTATTCCTTAAGGAATATATGGTTATATCGTATTTGAATGCTTTAACCCACGTACTTTATGTATCTACAGGATCTATTCAAACCTTTACCTAATATCAAGAAATATATATAACCGTGTATGTTAAAGGACTGTATTCACTATTCTATGAACTATCATTTATATCGTATTTGGATACTATAAATCACCCGTCACAACATGGCTTCATTAGAACAAGGTCGTGCAGTACATGCCTGATAGACTTCTTCAACGAGGTTACTCGTATACGTGACCAGAAGAAACTAGTTATTATACTATACTTCGACATTAAGAAAGCCTTTGATAAAGTACCTCATAATCTTCTAATCAACAGACTTAAGTCAGTTGGAATTATAAATCCCCTTTTGCAGTGGATCAAGTCTTTTCTTACGAACAGATATCAAATAACCAAGATTAACTCTAATACATCTACACCTCGACCTATAACCAGTGGTGTTGTGCAGGGTAGTGTCTTGGGTCCATTGCTCTTTATAATCTATATCAACAATATATGCAAGTGTTTTAGCACAGGTAAGACCTACCTCTATGCCGATGACTTAAAAGTCATCTATAAAACTGACATTTCCGATTTACGCAGTACTATGGAAACAATCCAACGTGAACTCAACATGGTAAACGACTGGTGCAAACGCTGGAGGTTAGAGCTCAACACAGAGAAATGCGGCTGGTTATGTATAGGAGACACATCTCTCAAAACGAAACTAACACTTAGCAATCACACACTGCCCAGACTGGCATCAGTAACTGACCTAGGGGTACATTACTCACACAGTCTTAATTTCTCTGAACACGTCTCAGCCAAAGCATCCAAAATGCGGAAATTGCTTGGCTTCATTCTCCGTAATTTCTATCAAAATGAATCTAAAATCCTTCTTTACAAAGTTTGTGTAAGACCTATCGCTGAATACTGCTCGTTCTTATTTTCCAACCTACGCGTATCTGATATACTAAAGGTGGAAGGAATACAACGAGACTTCACTCGCAAGGTACTTAAGACTGACTTGATCATTGAATATAGTTCCCGATGCCAAATCTTAGGAATAGCACCCCTTTGGAAGAGAAGGCTTAGGTCTAATTTGATTCTCTACTTCAAACTACTCAAAAACCTTACTTATTCAACGTGTAAGATAATTCTTGCCCGAAATTCACATGAATACGGACTTCGAAACAAAGTATCTACGGTCAAAGTTGAGAAATACAGATCAAAAACTCGGGAAAACTTCTTCCTCACCAAGTATGCAATAATATGGAACAGTCTTCCCTCCGAAACTCGCATGGCAGATGAATTACATACGTTTGTAAAACTGCTTGATCAAGCCCTCACTTGCACTGATCTTGCACGTACGAACACATCTGCGCCCCACTCAGACATCATAGGCTCTCTCCATGTCTAGACCAAAATGGACTCCAAGTTCAGTTTGCCTTATTTTTCCTACTTTGCAGTTGTATTAATTACCTTTTCCACCCCATTTCTTCACTTGAAGTAGACAGGTAACTCAATGGACCTATCATAACTGTTAAAATAAACTCGGTCGATAAGGGACACTCACTACCACCCTAAAACGTCAAGAGGACCGCACAATCGGCTGCCTATTTCCAGTGGTCTTGCATCTATGGAGCCTGTTACCAATCGACTGGTTAGGACAACAGAAAATAACATCAGCACTAAGTCACTGTGAGTCCCTTCCTGTTTATCCTGTATTAACTTTTTACTCTTCAGTACACTATGTTGACTAGCAATTAGTATTATTTCTCCACTCGTTCTCATATCCACAACTCATATACTTCTATACTTTTTCCGCCTGCTTAAATAAACAGCTATCCTACAATATACCCTTCTTAACGCTTATACTCTGATTGGCAAACTATACTTTATACTATAGTCAACAGAGGCACTGCATCGATGCTTTACCCACAGTCCATAGCTTGTAACTGTCTGATAAGCTTGTAAAATGGTACTTATAGAAATAGTGCTTTCCAACAGTTTTTGAAACAGAGGATTGTGCGAGGAATGACGTATATACAAAAATAATGCTAAATGAGCCTAACATCACAAAAGGAGGGAGGGTGGAGTTACTGACCAGCAAGCATTGATGGTGAGGGCGATAACTTCAATCCACCCATGCTTGTGGGGACAGAACATTTTGTATGTATCAGGCTCCTCATGACTGAGAATAATTCAATCAATCTGTGATATAGATTGTTTTCCTACGCTCACCACTCAAACTCATGTTTCCAATATTATGCTGGATTAGCTATTCTACTAAGACAACCCATAACATGCTAACTCGGATTTTTACACTAGGATTATGTGGCTGGCATCGGAAAAACAAAAAAATGAAAAAAAAAGTTAAACAATAAAAGATGTAATCATTAATATTCTTAACACCTCACCCTCTATATACACACCCTTCTTATAAACCGCTTTCCTAGTAACAGCCTTGACTTCCTTTCCTTCATGTGAGCTTACTCCAACTTGTTAAACATCACAACTCATTGTTCTTTATTAGTACATTCTATAATATGGAGCCTCTGACTTCATTTCACTAACAAGATATAATATGAATTTATTCTAATTTATTATACCTCTGTCCGTTCTACTACACTATGTTAAGCAACGTTTTGCGTTCATATCCAAGTGCATTGCTGCTCTTCTGTTTCTCTTTTTTCTTCAGAATCTTGCTCTGAGAGCACGGCTATGAAACCTCTGACGTTTGGAACAAACTTGATGTACGCGTCCTCTCAAGGTCATAGTTTACAGCAAGCGCTCTACGATTTCACTTTATAACAACTATAAACTTAATAAGTTGGGAAACATTCTGTGAACCAACAAATGTTGTAATTTATAGATCATGCCTGTAAAAACGGTGTGTACCTGCACATGCAGAAATATATATTATTATTATTATTATTATTATTATTATTATTATTATTATTATTTAATTTCCGAAGCTACCTGTCCAATTCGGTGAGTCTGTCATAGTTTTTTTTTGACAGTACTTTTTTTTCCAAAAAGCTGTTCCATATATTTGTTCAAGAAGCAACATAATAATCTTAGACGGTAATAATCTTCTAAACTACTTGTCTCTGCACCTCCCAATTTTTACTAATACGGACTTTCAGTTTATATATGTACCACGTACCGTACTTTTTTGTTGTTGATTGTTTGATATTAATTATCGACATTTCTAAATTACTTTAATATATAAGGCTATCTTTCATGTCATATGTGTTAAAATTTACACAACTTGCTCCTTTATATTCTATTTTGCCTCCACACAGATACTGACAAATACTTCATCTCCACTACTATCTTCCTGCCATTGTCATCTGTTTTTAACATCACTAATCCTCACGATACATTGACTCTTGGTTAAAACATAGATTTTGATTTTTAGACTAACTTGAGCCCTCGGAATTGATTTTTTTCACCTCTTTATGTTTCCAACATTCTGTTCAATCCACTTGCTATACGTCACTTTCTTATTATGCCACAAAATAAAATGAAGACCCCTGCTTCTAGGCGTTCAGCCAAATGTAGGAAAACGACACAATTTAACACCACTACTGACACGACTTCCAACAGTTTCAACGAGACGAGCCACTCCGTTCATCCGGAAGCAGACAAGCTTTTACCAGTTGTCTCCATTCCAGACATGTTGAAACCTCTGATGGTAAACAGTGATGATAATCGCAACTGCAACCATATGGATGCTATAAAAAAGTTGCAAGTAGACATGAACATTCTCAATCCGCTTAAATATCTCATCAACCCCAACCTCACAGAGATTCCAGATCAAATGAATGACATAAATATTTTCCTAGATCGTGTTGCATCAGAGGTATTTGAAAGAATAAGACGATCTAGTAATGCAATTGTGTTTAATATACCGGATACACATGCCCTTAAAAAGATCAAATCTAGTCTGCTTAGAGCCAGCAATATGACACACGTACCATGTGTATGCACAAGATTAAAACGAAGTCATCCTGGTATGCACTGACCGATCTTGTTCAAATTCAACTCACCTGTAGACGCCAGTGAATTTTTAAATTCCTCCAATTCATTGAGACAAAAACAGATTTTCAAGGATATTAAGACTCTTCCGGATAAAACACTATGCCAGCGAAAAGCAGGAAGAGATAACTACAGACCACCAGCGTCAAACTCTCAAACGCATCATAGTCCTAATGATCGTAAAGTTAAGTCCGATTCTAAGAGGACGTCTAGCTTAACAATTTTGCCGCCACCGAAAAACTCTTCTGAATCTCCTAAAGTTCAAAACCGAGAAAAAAGTAATCCCGATGTAGGTGGTGTCCATCCTCTTAAGAATGTTGATTTAGATTCAACCCGAAGTAGTTGTGCTGATGAAGAATGGGATAACACAGTCCAAACCCCTGTTAGTGCAACACCCAGTTACAGTAACTGTGCAACGGATAACAGGAAAACTAATCATAACATTCATATAACTGACCACGAACTTAACGTTGATATATTCGAACCTCCCAAACCATCGCAAGTATGTTTAACAGTACATAATCCTCTCCAACATATGAAGAAGCCGAAATCAATCACAAACTTTGGAAATAAACGTCTTAAACACGTTACCCATACGTCAGGTATAAATAGTTATCTGAATTGTAATTGGCCACTTGGTCAAAACCATAGACCTGATAGTCTTCTCGGTCCGGCTCCCAATATGTACACTATACCCTTATCAGATGTTATATCCAATAGCAGTGAGAAAACTTTTTTTGTAATTCCGCCGGCTTTCCTGCCGGCAACGGTAAACATATTTCACATGATGACAAAGTGGTTGAATCTATTTCCCCTCGCAACACGACTCTTACCTTAGCTAATCCTATGAGTATTAATGGAACTACCAATTGCGATTTATACTCTAACCTGCTTCACTATGATGACTCTGAGTTTCTTATTCTTTCTTTCAATGCCCGCTCTCTGTCTAATAAAATCATTCATCTTAAAACTCTTTTATTCCTTGTAAATCCAACCATTGTACTTATTACGGAAACGTGGTGTAATTCATCTATATCCGATCATTCCTTGAATGTAGATAACTACGTTTTCTTTAGAACCGATAGATGTTATGGAATAGGAGGCGGTACAATTATCTATGTCCGTTCAGACATTCAAGCGTGCAAATTTGAGGATAAATCCTTTGATGCTATAGAAGACTCCACTTGGGTTACTGTAAACTGTGGATCCCAAAATTATTTACTGGTGGGATGCATATATAGACCACCTCATGCGGATACTAAGTTTGACAGATTACTAACAAACATATTTTCCATTGCTTCGCATCAACCGCATACCTTTAAAATCGTCGGAGGTGATTTTAATCTGCCAAAAATTACATGGGGCTTGACTCCGGTACCAGGTCGATATAACAAGCTAGTTGAAACATTAGAAATTTGTGGATGGGTTCAACAGGTCCGAAAACCAACCAGGGGGAATAATACACTTGATTTAATGTTCACAATCAATATTGACTCTATCTCAGTGCATACCAGTCATGAGTTTTTTATGAGTGACCATAGAGTTGTATTGAGTATTATTCACTCTTTAAACGCCATACAATTGAATTCTTAAGCTTCAATGACTTACCAGAGCAGATATTTTGATCAACAAACATGGAAACGGACTGAAACTCTCATTCAATGTTTACCATGGGAAACTTATTTTACCACAAATAATGTTGACATCGCGCTTTACAATCTATATCACAACCTGATATATTGTCTTGACTGCACTGCTCCAGTTATTGACCGTGTGGCTTATAATGCTAATAGGGGCCAAAATACTTTTAAAAGAAAGCTGAGGAAATTAAAATACCGCTACTATGAGCAGAATGATGTGTATGCACTTCAGAGTATACTTAAATTAATCAACAGAAATGCTTCATCTAAACGTAAGTATTTCATGAATATAGAAAATAAAGCTCTACGTAGTAAAAGCCCAGAATTATCAATACTTCGACTTTTTAAATCCCGTGTAAAATCAAATTCCCTTGGCACGACCAAATTCTTCATAGTTAACGGAAGCATTGTTAACGACCCGAATACTATATGCGAACAATTCAGCAAGCACTTCTCGCAGTGCTACAAAACTGGAACTGAAATCTCCAGCATTACATTTCCAATGCTAACATCCAGACATCTGTCAAAAATTGATTTCACACCCTCCGCCATCAAGCAGGCCATAACTGCCCTGAAAAAGTCTTATGATGGTGGACCTGAAGGGATACCTACATCATTTGTGAAATATGGAAGTAGAGAATTTCCACTATTTTGTTTGAAACTCTTCAATCTATCTATGGAATATGGGACCTATCCATCTGTATGGAAAACATCCCTTATCACCCCTAGATTCAAAACAGGACCACGTAGTGATATTATTAACTATAAGCGTAATATTTGTGTCGCCTAATTGATTATGACTGAAATGGTATATGGCTATCGGCATTCGAACGCTCATAATTTCACAGTCACAAATCAAAAGACGGAAGAAAGCAGAATGATCGGTCGTTGAGTAAGCGTCAAAAATGTACGGAAAAATGGAATACTTGTAGTGGCATTGGACTATAACCACAATATCCTCAAAGCTGAATACGAGATTACTCGGAAAATAGGTATTCAATATTTAACGCGAAGAAATACCTAGCGATGGAGAAAGCGCGAATAATGAATTGAATAGACTAGAGTTGATCGGACGGCATGGCTCGGCCATGCAGGCGTGGTCTCTGCTGAATGTTACCTTATATCTTCTATTCATATTAAATATATTGTTCTTTCTCTAGCCTAACCTTGTTCTACATCATGTATTGGTAATCGATGGTGTGACTTCCACGTAAGATCTTATAGATTAGGCAGTCATATCATGATAAATCTACAGATTTAGAATTAGGTCTATTATTAGAGCAGTACCAATATCATAGTAGACCATAAATTCTACATACTCATTGTTTTTTTAGCATAGGCTACAAAATCACTATAATCTAGCTCCTCTGTAAGTAGGACGTTATTCAGTCTTCCGGTCATAACGCACCTCGTTGATATCCTTGGAATGTCTACCATGTTCTAATTGAATGGAACTTCTTAGGCGTTTTTATATCCTCCAGAAATTTCGTCGTGCTTTCGGAAAGCCATTCCACTACCTCCAATGAGTAAGATATCGTCCAGGAGTCTAATCGCAACTTTGTTACCGGCTTAATGTTACTAACTCTAATCAATATTATATTTCTGGTACAATATATAATTCAACACACAAGGTATTTCAAAGAGTTTCCGTTTCTTATTTCTTCATCGATATTGACGATAAATATTGAGTGGTCGTCAGTTAGGTGTTCGCATTTCAGAAATCGACATCTGAATAATTTTCACTCTTTTCAGTCCATATTGTCAGGAATCATGATGTCTCCGATCGTACATTTATGTAACTTGTACCAAAAATGATAATAAACTTATGCAATTAATTGATATAATGATATGTTAAAACAAACAAGAAAGCAGGTAACTTGTTGAAATATTTAGATGTCATGAACGGGTAGCCCAGATACTCAATCAGGATGCAGGGAACCTTCCATTTCACGTTGTCTCTCCCTACTGACAATTTATCCTTTTGTTCTTTACGGTGCTCTTGGACGTTTTACCTACGTGTCTGTAGTTATTTACAGTAATGGATTAACTTGACGATTTCTAGTGTGCATCGTTCTTTTATCTTTATAAGTTTGGTTAGTATATCCAGTACATGTTCCGAAAGCTACTCTCACCCAATACAATACGCAGCTCATTCTTTGTGTAAATATTCCTGGTCTCCATCAATTTCGGTACATGTATGATTTGATAAATACTCTTACCACTACGTCAAACCTGCGAATAGAACTACTTTTTCTGTTGCCAGTCACTTTTATGGACTGCAGCATTGCGTTGAAAAGTCGTCTAGATGCTTCTCACAAATATGACTCCAACTCACGACCTCCTTTCTGGCACAACAGGGTCGAAAGCAGTTTTTGGGATGTTAAGTTAATGATAACTAGTCTCGTGTTTTTTTAAAGCAATGATCCCTTGAATGTGCTCACGAGGTGCTCTGCTTGTTCGTTAGACTAAAGATGATGTGGTGGGGAGCATAACTAAGTCATCTCCTTTACATCGCAGAACTGTTTGAGCAGGTAAGAAGCGAATCGTATGTCATTATCTGTTACTAATGTCTCTGGTAACCCGAAACATTCAAACACGACAGACAACTTGGCTGTACAATTCATCATAATTCATGTTTCTGGCTTCTTTGTAAATGCATCCACAATAATAGAAATATCAATCCTTGGAATGGACCAGGAAAATCCGCATGAAGTCTAGCAGGGTCAAGAAGGCTTGGGCAACTGCTGCAATTCTAATCTCGAAGGAATTTTAACAGCTTGCAAGCAAGACTAACAGTCATGTAGTTTTTCTATGATGGTCATGCGCACGGAAGGCCAGTAAACACAGCTTCGATCCAACTATTTCACCTTATTTATCCCAGGGTGACCACTGTGAAACTACCTGAGAACCTTCGGAGCAGTAATTCTAGAATGACGAACGGCCGCCAATCATAACATGTGGGTCGACTACCATCAGTCAGTAACGCTGACAAAATCACTGCGAACTTTTTTCACT